CTGGGCCTCAGTCGTGTTACTCAGCATCCCGTGTGGCGCGGCCGCTCCAGGCCTTGCGCTCCTCCTCCCTCCTTAAAGGATGCAAGTTACCCCGCTGACCTCACTGCCGCCTCTGGGCCACTCTGGGACTCCTGACGGCGGCAGAGCCCAGCACCAGGTCCCCAGAACACCTGAAACGGCCAATGACAGGGGCAACATTCTGAGAAACTCCAGCTCGTGAAAATGAGGAACTGCCTGCCGGGCCCCTGGGATATCACATCTCATTACCTGCGGTGATAACGGCCTGGTCAGTGGGGCCCAGCTAGTCCCACACCAGCTGCCACCTTCCCCCAACGCCTGATGCCCAGCAGGACAGCTGGACAGTGGAGCCACCTCCCGCCTTCCAGCCACGTCACCCTCCGCTCACACTCCCCCTCCACCCCCGAGGCTTCCCACGGCTCTGCAGTTAAAATCCACCATCTCTCAGCCTCCAAGCTGTTATAGGAGCTGTTCTGTCTGGAATCTGTTTGTTCCCCGTTTTCACTGCGTTACCTTTTTTCCTGTCTGTACAGATGTCAACTCAGATATCCCCCAGACCTGGTCAGAAGCCCCTGTGATACAGTCCTGTGGCTTCCTATACTGTCCCTTTATGTAACTGTTAAGACACTGCAATTAGATGAGCGCTCTGCTGGGAGTTACTTCTTGTTTGTTGCCCTCCTCCCCCCCGCCCCCCTGCCCTGCAGCTGCCGTGGAAGCTCCAAGATATGTCTGCCATGCTCACCCCGGAACCCACGCACGGCGTCTGCATCTGGAAGGCACTCAGTAAATATATGGGGTGTGCGTGAAGGCTATTTCCTTGCTGTGCAGCTTTAGATAATAATACAAAAATCACATTTTTTATGGTTATGAAATTGTTCCCAAAAACAAGTTCACGTGCCCCACGCACCGTGAGGCCAGACAGAAACCACGGCGTTCGGAGCAGAGAAAGGTTTATCGCAGGGCTGAGCAAACAGAACATGTGGCTCGTGCTTAGAAAACCCCGAACTTCCTGAAGGGTTTCAGCAAAGCATTTTTAAAGGCAAAGTGATGGAGGGGCGTCCCTGGCAGATTGGTTGATGATGATTGGTCCTTAGGCACCAGAAGGTCTAGGGGCCACGTGCTCATGATAGTCAAGTAGCTAATTTCTTCCTTTCCCTGGTGGTTTTGGCATCTGAAAAACTCAGGAAATAGGCATCAGATACCATGACCTGGGTTCGTCAGAGAGGAGCTCCGGCAGAGGATATGGGGGGCGGGTTCTGACCCAGGAAGGCTCCACAGGGTCCTGTTCAGCTACAAAGTAATAATCTTACACTATTATTACGTATAACGTGAACTGCCACGTGCCAGGCACTGAGTGTTTCACAGCCCTTCACTCTGTGCACTTTCACATCCACCAAGTGAAGAAGGACATCTCATTATCCCCATCTTACAAAGGAGAAAACTAAGGCTCGGAGAGGTGGCAGTCACGTGCCCAAGGTGACAAAGCTATTAAATGACAGCCCTGAAATTAGAACCCAGATCTGCCCAATGTTGAAGTCCTTGCTTTTCAGCCCCCGGGGCTCCCTTCACTTGTCTGAGTGTCAGTTTTTGCAGAATAAGGATCAAATTACCTACTTGCCCCACTTGTCCACTGGCTCAGGCAGAAGGTGCCCGGCACACAGTGGCCGGCTGAGTGTCGTTGTCTTTCCCCTTGGTCAGTGGTTGCTGGGGAAATCAGACTCATCTTCCAGGCCGAGTGAGAGACCCAAAGGCGCCTGAACTGACTCCCCCAGACTGCGGCTCTGCCTGGGGACTGGGTCCTTACACTGCAAACGGGGAGCTTCATCTGACTTCCTAATGAGAAGAGAAAAGTGTTAGACTTGGTTTGATAAAGTTTGATAGGAGAAGACCCCAGCCCCCAGACTGGTTGTGCGTCTAGATGGCTTCACCCCTCTGTTGGTAAACAGCATGTACCACCAGTGGCATCTTTCTGGGGATTTTGGGGGTGAGGAGCAGTGAGAGGGGACCTGGTTTACCTCTGGGCTATACCTCTGCTGGTGGGGCGATCCTCAGCCTTTCAAGCCCCCGTTTTCTTTGCTGCCACAGAGGGTGATTGAGAAGGAAATGGTATTCCGGATTCCACCCACCACAACTCAGTTCCGGGGGAGACACATTCTGATGGGGAATCACCAAAGGCCACATTCAGAGTTTTCCTGGGGCCCTGAAAACTCAGAATTCTACCCGGTGGGTTAAAAGAACCCCTCCTTCCTGTGCCTCTGCCAGAGGCGGGTAGAAGTGGGAGGGAGAAGTGAAAGAGGATGGAGCAAGTACCTCTGGAGGACTCCCTGGAGGAGGTGACAGAGGAAGCCAGGTCTTCAAGAAAGAGTGGGGGCTCACCAGGCATGGAAGGGAGGAAGGGAATTCAGGCAGGGGGAACAGCATGTGTAAAAGCAGAGTCAGATCAGGCCCAGGACTTTCAAAATCAGGAGGAATTAAATGCCACCAGAGATGTTTCTCAAAGTGTTGTCCAGCGAAAGGGCACTCGGCAGGCAGGAGCTAAGGCTTAAGAGAGAAGACAGAAGCAGGTCACAAAGAACCTTGGACACCGTGCCAAAGGTTTATACTTGGAGACCACCAGGGCTAGTAATGGGGAGTAATGGAAGCTGGCTCCCCAGCCCAGAGCCCAGCACAGGGGATTCAACACACACCTGGGAGCATGTTGAGTGCATTGAACACACTCGGCGGTGGCTGCTCTTAGGGGCTAACTGGCCAATGTGGCCTCACAGGGGCACTTGATGTGATGAGTCAGACTCTGAGCTGGGCCCTGCCTTTTGTCACTTTCGCATTTGCTGGGTGATGACTGTAGGGAAAGATGAGACACCTCCCCGGGGGGGCCGTGAGGGGCGCTGCAACCCATGAGCAAATTCTCCAGAAAGTGGCTTTTCAGAGGCTCTTGAGGCAAAGATGAGGCGAGGGAGGAGGAAGCGGTGGGACGGTGCATAGCTGCAGCGTCTGGGGCCAGCCTGAGGCAAAGGGGGAGGAAGTGGCCGAAGCGGCTTTAGTGACTTTTCACACACTCACACACACAGAGAGAGAACCCTTCATTATTTAATCTGCATGAACAGGGGGACAAGAGCTAATGTACACTGTATTGTTTCTTCAGCTTTTTGTGTGTTTGACAATTTTCACCCTAAAATGTTGGGGGAAACAGGCCCATTCTCACATATCCGTTCAGACGTATAAATAGGGCTCATCAAATGCCAAAACGAGTGCCCTTAGGTTTTCACAGTGGAGAAACCACACACACACACACACACACACACACTCATACACACTCCATGTAGCCTGGACCTCTCCCTTGGATAGACAACCAGAAACGTTTGCTGGATGGGTGGATGGATGGATGGATGGATAGAAGGATAGAAGGGTGGGTGGATGGAAGGCCCAAAGAGGTGGTCCAGATCCAGCCTCTGCTGGGGGACAGACCCAGAGCCATATGAACAACCTAAGGCGGCAGGTGCCACCAGTATAGCTCCATACAAAGTGCAGGGGAGGGTGCCCCTGCCCGCGGGCATTCAGGAGGGCTTCAGGGAGCTGGAGCTACAGGCATCCCCTGCTTTTTGAAGGTTCGCTTTATGAAACACCTGCATTAGTACCTGTTTCTGCTAACCAGAAGAAGTCCGAGGATTTTCACTTTTACGAAAAAAGGCGACAATAGCGTTCAGGGTTGTTTTGCATCCAAGTCGTTATAAAGGCAGCCTGCACCCCGAGTGTGGGGTGACCCCGCCAGGCTCTTTCCCCGGGAAGTGCACTCAGCATCGGCTCCAGGCCGCCAGAGCCATGAACTATCTGAGCATCATGCTTTAGCTCCACTCCCCGTGCGCATCCTTTAGCCCCACTCCCCGTGCGCATCCTTTAGCTCCATTTCCTGGGTGCATCCGTTAGCAAGAGGTGTCCCAAGGTAACCGCTTCTTCGCTTTCTGCTATTTCGGCTTTTGAAGGGTTTCGTAGGGATGTCGACTTTCGGGTAGTGGGGGAACCCTGTGTTTGAGCTGGGCCTTGAAAGGGCAGTAGTTGAGAAAGCGGGACTCCGGGAGGTGGAGACCTGCAGCGTTTGGGCAAAGGCCCGGTTGCCTGAACAGCGCAGTCAGGGGACAATTGCAGGGCTATTGGGCGAGATCCATTTAGAAGGACAAGTTGACGTCTGATCCAAGGACCGGCGTTGAGGCAGGCCGAAGGAGTGTGAGCTGCGTGTGAATCCAGGCTCTCCGGCCACTTACCAGGGCTGTGACATCACTCGGCCTCCCCGAGCCTCGCTCTCCTCGACTGTTAAATGGAGACGGTGATTCCCCTCACTCGCGTGCAAGACGTCACCTGGCCCTGGTCCCCCCGGCAGTACCGATGCGCCATTGTTCGTAGCACCCTTCCTGGGCTGGTGGACTTTCATGTGATTTCTTTTATGTGCTTGTCCCTGACAAACCACTCACGCCGACCTCCTTCTTCGTGGATCCTCTCATCCTGGTGGCTGTATTGCCAACACTAGGCGCCCAAAAGAATGAGTCAGATCTAAGTGATCTAGAGAGGCGTCCAATATATAACGGGAATTTTAAAAGAAAAAAGGAAAGGAAGTAGTGGGGTAATATCTACAGATGTATTAAATAGCCTCTGCCTATGTCTGGCGCACAGAGGCCCAGAGAAAGAATGGAAAGTCCCCACCACACCAAACAGCCAGCGACAGTCCCCTCCCCATCATGAGGCCATGGGAATGCCATGGCCCAAACAGTTGGCCCGTCCTGTATACCCTGATTTGCTGCAATCAGCTTGTCATCGCTTTTGAAGTTACAAAGGAAAGTTCCAGAAAGTGTTTTTTAGATTAGCTGTGACAGTGACCTTGGGGTCCCGTGATCCTCTAGGACCATCCTTCTCCCCACAAGGGACAAGATGAACTGAGCTCCGTGCAGAAGCTCCTGCCTTCACCAAAAGTTCACTAGAAACTTCTGGGGCCGAGGCTGTAAAATAGAAACATAACAGAAGTGATCTTTCTTTTGAAACTCTCTGAAAAAGGAAGCCACCACTGTTCTGTTAATCATGGGGGCCCCCAGCGCATGGAACCGCGTTTGGCACATTGTAGGTTCTGCAAGAAATAGCTGCTGAAGAGAACAGAGGGAGGCAGGAGGAAGAGGCAGGAGGAAGGGAGGGAGAGAAGAAATTAATTTTTAATTATGTGAGAGGCTGGTTTGCGCAAATTTGAAAACCGCCGAGCATTAACTAAAATGTCATTTCAAAATACCTAAACCTGGCTGTTAAGGAAACACAGAGAAAATTTTGATCAGAAACAGATAGCGATTCTCAAAAATAGAAAAACAAAAAACCACACTGTGGCTGCTACCCCCCTCCAAAGTTAATTAAGTGTGGCGGTAAGAGCCATCCTGTTTGGGCTATTTATGTAATGAAAAGATCGTCTGAAAAGAAACCCCAGTGGCCCAGTCCGCTAGGCTAGGTGGCTGAGCCAGCTGGAGTGGCAGAAGGTGACCAGGAGCCGTGATCCCTGCACCAACAGACTGGTTATGATTAAATGATGCTTCTCATATTCAGATTGCAAAACCGCTCCAGGCAAGAGTCTGGGAGAGGCTTAAATTATGTCACACGGCAACGAGCTTGTTTCTGAGAGAGTTTCCGCTGTCGACTTGATTTTCTGCACACTCCCAGATCCCAGGAGGTGGCCTGCTGGCTGCTCTCTGGAAAACCAGGATCAGCTTGAGAGCAAGGGTCCGGGAATCAAGCAGGCCCTTCCCTGGTTTTGCATCAATTAGAATCGTAGCTCATCACCGCTAGGAGGGGATTAAACCTTCTGCTGAAGTGATGTCCGCAGCGGGACAAGAAGGAGGAAGAAAGAGAGGGCAGTTGGAGAGAAGGAACTAGAAACCACGCAAATACTTGTGATGGGGTGATGATGGACTAGTGTACAGCCATTAGAAAGGTGGAGTGAGGAGGGAGGGCGTAGCTGAAGAGGTAGGGCACGTGCTTAGCATGCATGAGGTCCTGGGTTCAATTCCCTGTACCTCCATCAAAATAAATAAATTAGTAAAAAAAAAAAACTTAATTACCTCCCCCACAAAAAAATATTTTAAAAGAAAGATAGAGTGAGTTCTGTACCAGCTGACCTGAAAAGTGAGGTTCACAGAGATGTCTGAGGCAGATGTGGGGTGGGGCTGCAGTTGGCAAACTATGATAGCAGGCTAAATCTGGTGTCCTCTCCCTGGCTTCCTGCAGCCCGCGAGCTAAGAATAGCTTTTACATTTTTAGCTCAGAAATGGTTTTAAAGAGTTTGGGGGGAAAATTCCAAAGAAGGAGACTATGTTATGACACGTGGAAACGTTGTGAAATTCCCGTTTCAGCAGCCGTGGTCTGTCTTCCTGGCACACGGCCACCGTCACTCATCCGCCCGTTGTCCTGTGGAGGTGTCCTCACGCTGAACGACAGAGCTGAGTCGTGGCCACAGAGACCGGGCTTGGAACGCCAAGCAGAAAATATCCTCTACTTGGCCCCTCCCTGAAAAAGTCTTTCAGTTCCTGGTTTAGCGTGTGATGACATTCTGTGACACAGCAGTGTGAGATGCTGTTCCCCGCGCTTTGCCAGAGGAAATGTATTGCCTTTGCTTATTTTTCATTCATTTTATCGTTTATTCATCAGACGCTTAGTGCCTACCTGCAGGGCCGGGCACTGGGACCCAGCAGGGGACAAGCAGAGGCGGAGCTTACAGTCTGTGTCCTTTCCCCTCTCTTCCTCCCGCTAGGAACCCTGATGGCCTTGGTCCCTTCTAAGGAGAGGTGCGGGACTGGCTCCATGCCTGCTGGTGTCTTGCAGGGAGGTCAAGGTCCAGAAGGGTTCGTCGTGAATCGGGCCACACTCTCAGTTTGGTTTCCGGATGCTCAATACTCAATCTTTGCATTTCCAGCGCGTGCTCCCCAGCGCATCCCACAGGGAGAGGCAGGAGTGCTCGACCCCCGTCATGCGGACGGGAGCAGCTGTCTGCGATGGAGAAGGCTGCAGCCCCGTCTCCACCTGACGCCTCCCGCGTAAGGCCAAAGCCACCTTCAGACTCATGCCCCAGTGCCTCAGTCTCTATGCAAAACCTGGACAGTGGAAATCAGCTCCAGTCCCGGGAGGAAGCCAGCTCTGCAGGGGCCGATGTGAGGAATGGGGTTTGAACCAGGAACTTCGCTTCAGAGACTAGCTTTCCTTCTTCATTCATTCTCATGCCTACCACCTCCTCACAGACTGCTTTATTAATTTCTAGGAAAACAGCACCCAGGTCAGTCATTGTAGCCTCCCCACATTTGGACACTCCTTTTGGCTCTTTTGGGCAGCCTGGAGCCCAGTGGTGACATAACTGACACGTTGGGGACCTGCAGAAGGAGCAGCCCCGGGGCCGAGGGCAGGGGGAGGAGCCATAGGGCCCCAGCATGGCGTCCAACAGCACGGACCCCTCCTCCTGTCTGAACCATACCGCGTTCAGGGTCACCGTCAGCTTGGTCCTCACCGCCCTCATCCTCATCACCATCGCCGGCAACGTGGTCGTCTGCCTGGCGGTGGGCTTGACCCGGCGGCTGCGGAGTCTCACCAACTGCTTCATCGTGTCCCTGGCCATCACTGACCTGCTCCTCGGCCTGCTGGTGCTGCCCTTCTCGGCCTTCCACGAGCTGTCGTGCCAGTGGGGCTTCGGCGAGGCCTTCTGCAATATCTACACCAGCCTGGACGTCATGCTCTGCACGGCCTCCATCCTCAACCTCTTCATGATCAGCCTGGACCGGTACTGCGCCGTCACGGACCCCCTGCGCTACCCCGTGCTGGTGACCCCTTTCCGGGTCGCCATCTCCCTGGTCTTAATTTGGGTCATCTCCATCACACTGTCCTTCCTGTCTATCCACCTGGGGTGGAACAGCAGGGCGGAGACCAACAACACCAATCACACCGTCTCCAAGTGCAAAGTCCAGGTCAACTTGGTGTACGGCCTGGTGGACGGGCTGGTCACCTTCTACCTGCCCCTGCTGGTCATGTGCATCACCTACTACCGCATCTTCAAGATTGCCCGGGATCAGGCCAAGAGGGTCCATCATATCAACTCCTGGAGGACAGCCACCCTCCGGGAGCACAAAGCCACAGTGACTCTGGCCGCCGTCATGGGAGCCTTCATCGTCTGTTGGTTCCCCTACTTCACTGTGTTTGTTTACCGTGGGCTGAGAGGGGATGATGCCATCAACGAGACCTTCGAAGCCATTGTTCTGTGGCTGGGCTATGCCAACTCGGCCCTGAACCCCATCCTGTACGCCACGCTGAGCAGAGACTTCCGCACGGCGTACCAGCGCCTCTTCCGCTGCCGGCCCGCCGGCCACATCGCCGACAGAACTTCGCTGAGGGACAGCAGCTCTCAGCTGAAGAGGAATCAAAGCCAAGAACCAGGGTGGCAGGAAGAGAGGCCCCTGAGGCTCCAGGTGTGGAGTGGGACAGAGGTCGCGGCCCCCCAGGGAGCCACAGACAGGTAACTGCTAGGGTTGTTTGTGTGTGGGTTGGGGACCCGAGGGGGTCCCACTCATGGAAGCCACTCAAGTGGCAGCTGTCCCCGAGGTGCTGGCTGGAACATTATGGGTTGGAAATGCCTCATGAGCACTTTCCAAATCTCGTGTTGTTCCTTCCCCCAAACAGAACTTTTTACCTCCGTTCTAAAAGAAGCAAGTCCAGACTCAGAGAACTTGGCCAGGGCCGCACAGCTGGGATGTGACTGGAGTTCCCTCGACTCCAGAACTTGTGGGCCCTTTTTTCTAGCTACCTGGTCCTTACAGTCAGGAACCCTAACTTTGAGACTCAACTCTGCCACTTACTTACTGGTCCTAAGTGTTCATCTGAACTGGCCAGGACAGCCCTCCAATGGCCATGCACTAATGCTGCCTCCTGCAGGTTCAGTCAGAGAGCCCACTCGGCCCACATTCATTGAGCATCAGCTCTTACTTTGGGGGTGCTCCAGTGCGGGGAGGAAGGCAGAGCCTTGAAAGCCAGGCTTGGACATTGTAGCCTAGGTCTTAGGGGAAGATGGGAGGATTAGAAGCAAGGAGGGGGTAACCCAGGCAGCTCTGTGCCTTGGAAAGAGGGCTCTGGTTGCCCCATAGGATGTGAACCACAAGGATAAGATGAGGATGTCAGTGAAGGGGAATGCGGCTCTGGTCCATGACAGAGGAGAGCAGAGAGGAGAGAACAGAGCAAAATCTAGGAGGCTATTGAAAAAACAAACAGACAAAAAGGCTTGGAGACCATTGACTCTCCAGGATGCAGGAAATGCAAGAGAGACGATGCCCTAGGATTCAGCCTCCAAAGAGATACCCAGGCTGAAAAGATAAACAGGATCAGAATGAGATTTAGATCAATTCACTGGTGACAAAGCCCATGCAAAATATTAAGGGGAACCTCAACAAAGACTTGAGTGGCCCGAGTGAGCTCGCCCGTGGGGAGGAGGGTTACAGGTGGGAGGGAGCTCCAGCTGTTGAGATGACTAAATGAAAGGATGCTGGCAGGACAGCAGACATACGGGTGTTCAATATTACTTTCCTTTCTCTTCCCACAGACCATGCCTTTGCCTCCTCCCCCCCCCCGGAATGCTGGTCCGTGTGACAAACCCACTCATTCATTCATTCATTTATTCACTCATTCATTCCCTGATTCATTTGTCAGCTTCCCATCCCATGCCGGGAACTGTGCTGAGTGCCAGGGATGTAGAGGTGATGTTTTCGGCATCTGCTGTGGTGCACTGGGATGGAAAGGCAACTGCCCAGCCCTGATCTCAGCTCTGCCCTCCTCGCTCTGTGGCTTGAGCGAGTCCCTGCCCGTCTTGGGCCTCAGTTTCCTCATCTCGTAGAGGGTGAGGCCTGTCCTCAGGCAGCCTGTCCAGCTCACCTCCCAGAGTCGCCTGAAGTACACATGAGCCAGGGGATGCAAACAGGTTTTAGGACCTGCAGTGGGGTACTTGTCTGCTGTTGAGCACTGAGCGTCAGACTCCAGAAAGGCTTGGATGGGCACTGCACACCCACCCGCTCTGGGTGCCGGTCCCTGTGGAGCACTTTGGGGCTGAAACTGACCAAATGGTCCCCTAGGCCTCGAGTAACTCTGGTCCTTCCATCGGCCAGGTGTGGAGTGTCCCCAGTAGACTTGGGTCCCAGACCCTCCCCCTCCACTGCTATGCTTGTGGAACAAGCTTCATGGCTCCTGCATCCAGCCTCCTCCTGGCCTTCCAGCCTCTAGGCTGTCTCCCTCACGTCCACCCTCCAAGTCACCCAAAGGCGCCTCTCCAGAACGCCTGTCTGGAGGCTTCCGCGTCTGGCCCTGATCGCTAAGATGACCTTGTCCTTCCACGCTCCCTCACTCAGGAAGCAGCCTCCGGTACAAAGCTAATTTTGTTCACAAAGCAAACAAAGGGCAGAGCACGGCAGGTGTGGGCTCTGCAGAAGGCAGTTACACATTCAGTCTAGTCGTCAAACCACTTCCTACCGCTCTTACCTGTGCGACCTCAGGTTAATAGGCCACCTTGACCCCTAATCCTTAGGGAGACATCCAGCAAGCACTCACCTGCACCCACTAGGTGCCAGTTTCACGTTTGTCACTGTTTCTATGTATTAATTTTTCTGTGGCGGCATCCTTCACCCACCCCTGTGCTGGGTGCAAAGGGAGAGACAGCGAGCCCCCCGCCCCACGCCATCACTCTCACCACCTGCAGTGGCTCACAGGTGGAGGTGATGGTCTGGTTAAGGAGCAAACTGGTGATGGTTTGGTGCAGCATATGCCAAGGCTTGAAACCCAGTTCCTGAGGTCCCCAGAGGAGGCCGTGCATGCCCCAAAGAGCCCATCCCCGGGAGCAGACCTCTGAGCTGAGCCTTAGATGCAGCTAGGAAAGACTCGTTCCTCCAGGGTGGTGCTGGACCCCTTAGACCCGTGGCCCCATTTCATTCTCCGCACCACCTTGTCAGGTAGCTGCTTGCTTAGTTTTCACTTTGCAGATGGGGAGACTGAGGCTCAGAGAAGTTAAGTAAATTGGTCAAAGGACACATGCTAGTGACTCTTCCAAAGCCAAGATCTGAGCAAAAACAGAAATAGCAGCCCCCGCTACCGACTGCCCTCTGGGGGCCAGACCTCCAGCTCCTCTGACTGTCACGGCCACCCTGACCAGCAAGGCCAGCTGGGAGGCCGTGCCTGCCTGGGTCACACACAGCAGCTGCAGAGCAGAGAGGTTCGGCAGAGACTCAAGGGGAACCAGCTGAAGGGCTTCATGCTATGGTTGTGGGTGTCGGGGTCCAGGAAGCCAAGAACAGCCAGAGGTTGATTTTCCAACGGAGGCCACCAGGGCACCCAGGGACTCGTGTGGCCTCCACAAGGTTGGCTCCCAGCCCCCCTGATGACCGATAGTGTGTTCTTCCTGCTCCCCATCTGAGGACAAAAGCCAGCATTGACCTGACAAAGAGCCCTTATCACAACCAAGGAGGCGGGGGAGTCTGCCTGTGCCAAGAATTCCAAGGGACGGACTCTACCTGCCCTTGGCTGCTGGTGGTGTAGGTGAGGGGCGGGTGGGAGACAGTCAGCCCAGGAAAGAGTGGCCGAGCTGGCTGGTCCTCCCTTCCTGGAGGCCAGTCAGCAGCCACCGCCCCACCACCCCCTCCCGCCAGCAGGATGCTCTGTCTGCCCTGCCCTGACCCAGACTGGCCGTCACATCTCCCCCTCTCTGATCCCAGGTGGCCAGCCTCACCCTCTCTGCTCCACTGACCCTGCTCAGTAGGCCCACAGCTTCCACCAGACACAGGTCTACATTAGGTTCCCAGGTGGGGCTCCTGTAACCAATGACCGTGAACTTGGTGACAGAAAACAACACAGATTCCTACCCTCACAGTCGAAGGGGTCAGGGGTCTGAGATCCAGGTGTTGGTAGGGCTGGTTCCCGAGGCTTCAGAGGACAATCCATTTCCTTGGCTTTTCTGGCTGCCGGGGGCCACCCTCACTCCTTGGCTGGTGGCCTTGTCCTCGCCCCACCCCCACCTCTTGGTCACATCTCCATCCCCTCCTTTGTAGACAAGTCTCCCTCTGCCTCCTTCTTTATTCATTTATTTTTTAATTTTTTAAAAATTTCTTTCCCTTTTTTAAAAAAAAGTTGCAGTTTTCTTTTTCTGGTGAGAGAGGTAATTAGGTTTATTTATTTAAATGGAGGTACTGGGGATTGAACCCAGGACCTTGTGCGTGCCAAGCACATTCTGTACCACTGAGCTACACCCTCCCTCTGCCTCCCTCATCTAATAAGGGCACTTGTCATTATGTTCAGGGCCCTCTGGGATATTCCAGGATAACCTCCCCCTCCCAGATTCCTTAACAGAACCACATCTGCAAAGCCCTTTTCGCCATATAAAGTAACACTCCCAGTTTCCAGCGATGAGGATGCGGGTGTCTGGGGCCATGTTCAGCCCCCACAGGTCCCAGCTCCCTGAACTGGCATTAGAGGCCCTTCATGATTTGGTCCCTGACCACCTCCGGACACCATCCCCAGGCCCACGCCCACCCTCCAGCCCCACCCAAACAAGCCACTCAGAGTTCTTCCATTCACTGGCACTCACCAAGGACCTGCCCAAAGCCGGCGCTGTTTGGGGGGCTAGCAGTGAGCAAAGCAGGGGTCTTTGTCCCTGAGGGAGGTTATTCCAAGGCCGTAGTTCTCAAAATGTGGGCCCCCGGCCAGCAGCCGGGGCTTCTGGAAGCAGCCCAAGCCCGTCTGCCCCCGAAGCCAGGCTCGTTCCATGCTGACATGCCGGACTTGAATTTAGCCCAGACTCAGAGCTAACCCCATAGCCCGCAGATGGGGAAACTGAGGCAGGTGACCTCTCTGAGGCCCTCGGCAAGCTGGGCATGGGCTAGGAGCAGACCCCGTCTCTCTGGATCCCTGCCTGGGCCTCTCGGGTCCTTTTCCCAGACCCTGGCTGGCCCTGCTAATCTCCCAAGGCAGGGAGACAAGATTCCCGGGGACCTGGAGTGTCAGCAGCCTCCCTCAGGGCGGGGCACTTCCTTGCTCCTGTGCAGCCCTGGCACCCGCGGTGGTGATTCTCCCTGGGCCTGGAGGCTGGAGTCAGAGCTCAGGAAAGCCCTCAGGAGGAGATCCCCAAAGGGAGGCGAGGAGCCACAGCTGCCCCGCTCCTGCCAGGTCCTGTCAGCTCTCTCCCCTCACAGGCCTCTGGCCAGCACTCCCAGGCCCCTTCCATCTGCCCTCCTTCCTTCTGCTGCCAGAGGGGCCATTTCCTCCAGATGGGAACAGGCTTCTGCCCTGCCCCACAAGGTCCTGCCCCACAAGGTCCTGCCCTGCCCGACTCTTCTCACTTCCCTGCCCCCTCCCGCCCTCCCTCCGTCTGGGCCCCTCGGTCCTCTCCCCAGGCCATGACTTGTCCCACCCCATGCACCCTCCTCTCAGCCTGGACAGTCTTCTTCCCCCTCCCGGCCCCTCCCATCTGTTCTACTCCCCCAGACC